TGTTTAGACTTCAGGGACAGAGAGTCTCTCCAGACAGTCTGGAGCCTTTCCAAGAATACTAACCTTCTCTGAAGGGGGTTGCTCTGCAGAGGGGGAAATGCTTGCTTTTCAAAAACACCTCCTTAGAGAGGCCATCAGCTGCCTCATTTTTGCCCTGTCAGGGAAATTTCATCTTCAGATAAGGGATTTGAGAACAGTTGGCTGTCATTGCTTAAAAGACTTAACAAGGACAAATGTCCAGAACATAGACGCCCCATCACGCAGGGGCCAAGGTCTCTTTGTTTATGCCCCTTGTGGCTTTTCCTGCTTTCCTGTCCTCTCTGTCCCAATCTCTTGCCCTGGTCTAAGTCTGGAAGAAATCACAGCCTTTGAAAGTATACTTGGAATAATCTATAGAGAAACAATTTATGGTGTGCCTTTTCCTTTCATTCACTAATTTGTTAGTTCGTTCATTCATTCATTCATTCATCTGAGAAGAATTTTCTATTAAGAAATGTTTGTTACATAACATCATTTTCTTTCCAACCACAAATCATGGAGAGGAAGCTGACTTCCTTTGTTTTGTTCCTCTAAAGACCATGTGAAAGCTGGGTTTCTAAAGAATTAAGTACTTTGATGAATGGCATTTTCACTGTCTCCTCTTCTATCCCCATCAGATAGTTGGAACTCATTTGTCAGCCTTACTCAGCACCACCTCCAACTCTCACCAGAGGCATTGGGCTACGATACAGCATACCTAATGGCAACAGGCATCCTGACACTTGAAGGTTATAGAATTGCAAGGTGTGAGGAGAGTGCGGATATTGAGTACAGGTTCCTTCCTTGACTTATTTATTTATTTAATAACCACTTAGGGAAGTCAGTATGTTCCCAATGCTAAGTCATTGAAACTTAAGATATAATAACAATAATAGTAACAATGACACTTAACATTTATTCAGAGCTTCCTATATGCTACACACAGTTCCAATGCTTTAGATGTTTTAGTCTTTCAAAAGCCAAAACAAGCCTATGCAGTAGTTCACTTATTATCTGTTTTATAGATCAGAAATTGGCAAAGAATGGCCTGTGGCCTGTTTTTGTAAGACTCATTAGGTAAGAATGGTTTCTTACATTTTTGGATTGGTATTAAAAAAAGAGAGAGGTGGGGAGCAGAGAGAGAGAGAGTATAAAATGCTACAGAAACTGTATTAGGCTTTGCAAAACCTAAAATAATCACTATCTAGCCCTTTACCAAGAAAAATTTTACCAAGCCCTGTTCTAGATGAAGCAACTGAGCTAAAAGGAAGTCCATTGTACCCTGGGCAGTCTGTCTGGGTACAAACTCTGCTTTTGAGTTGCTCACAATAAGGCCCAGAGGTTAAAGACACTTTCCTGATTTATGTAGCCAGTTATTGGCAGTGCTAGAACTTTATGCCAAGACTTCCAGGTCAGTGTTATTTATGACATACTCTGTGATGTTCTTGACACACACCCCTAGAATAGATTTTAGAAATCTTCAGTTTTAAACATGTTAAAGACCTTACTTTCTTTTCCTCTTTACTCAGTGCAGTTAGCCAGTGAGAAGAAATCCAAGGCAGCTCAATGCATTTTTGGGTAGGTTTAGTGGTCAGGCAGTCTGAATAACTGTCAGATTTCTGAATCACTGATACCTCTCATCTCTACTTTATCTTGCCTTCCTGCAAAGTTCAGGCTAGTCTGAAAAAGACATGTAGTTCTAACTACCTATATAGTCCAAAAGCTATTTCCATAATGATATTTTGTCTTTTCCTTTTCTCTTTTATTCTTCTATTGACTATACCACCACATGGTTCTGCAATGTTTGTTTTCATTTCTTAGGTTAAAATTATTTCTTGTAAAAGCCTGAAAACTTTAAATAAAATGGATGATATATCTTGAGGAGCTCCAAAATAAATGTGATAAGGAAGATAGCGAGATAAGGAAGGCAGTGCCCCAGGCTTTATCAATAGGAGTCTCTGTACCAACAAGGCCAGCTCTTCATGCACCCTGAGGAGAAGCCAGCCAGGACACACGTCCCTGCCCACTCCTCCCATCAAGGATTATGTTAACTAACAACCTTATTCAAGGTTAACTAATCAACCTTATTCTCTTGGGCTGAGGAAACAAAGCACAGCCACCAATAACTGATTAGGCCAGATACTCATTTTAGAGATAAGTAGCTAAGAATCAAAAAAACTGGAGGAGAAAGAAGCAGCCTGAATGAGAGGCTCTAACATGGAAAAAAAAAATGGAGAAACTAATCCTAAGGAAATAGAGTTAGTACAGGAAATAGGAAATAAATGAAATTCTATTTATGTATCTCCAGAAAGATATGAGATGTTGAACTCATAAAAATAAGAATAGTTGCTATGAAAAAGAGAACACTTAAAAGCCTCAGGAAATTTCAAACTGACTTCCAGAATGTCCCACACCCTTCAGCAAAAAGGTTGCATGGAACAGCTGATCCCTGAGTTAGCAATGGAGAAGAGGTCTATTTCATAGAAATCAAATGCAAGGCACAAATATCATTTTAATTTTTCCAATAGCCACATTACAAAAGTAAAAAGAAAAGGGTGAAATTAATTTTAACAATATATTTTGTTTAATCCAATAAATACAAAATACTATCATTTTCACATGTAATCAAAATAAACAATTCTTATGAGATATTTCAATTCTTTTTCCCTTTTTGTGGCTAGTAGCTATCATAGTGGATGACATAGATCTTGGAGGTCTAATTGAAGGACTTACCCCAGAACAGAGTAAAAAGAAAATCTGAGAGAAAAATGAAGCACCAGGAGGGGTACAGATATTCTCTCAGGAATGAAAGAAGAGATTGGGTGAGTTAGGTGCCCATGTGAGACATGAGGAGGACTCGGCAGAGGGGCAACAATAGAGATGGAGATCAGTGGGAGGATGCAAGATGCCTCTGGGATAGAAACTTGGCGTTTGTTGACAGATTGGCTGTGGAAGATCAGGAAGAGGAAGACAGAAGCAGAGCTCTTCGATTCTGGCTTGAGAAATTTGATGACCAAAAAGTTCTTTTTTGGGAGAATGCATCACGGAACATAGCTCAAAATTTGAACCAGAAATATAGTCTGTGAAGCCAAACTTGCCACGACCAGGTGGTAAGGCCTTTCTTTGCAGGACAGGCCACCTTCCTGCTTACCTGCTTATCTACTACAGGCTGAAAAAGAACTTGCATATTTTACAACTTAAACTAGCAAAGAAAAGGGAGAGAGCTTGTCTTGCTGTGAACACACAGTTGTTTTAGTGAGTCTGTAAAGAGCGTGAAAGTGGAGCATAAGAAATGACATTGATTAGTAAAGAGAGCTCACATTGTAATTCCCATTAGTCTGTATTCAAGGACTTTGGGTATTTTCCCCTTTCTCCCACTCTCCTACCTTTTACTTTCCTGGAAATAAGTACTTTCTGATTATTTTTGAACTGTGGAAAATAGCAAGCCCTGAAATCAAAACTAACAGTTTTCTTTCCCATTCTCAATATTGTGCCTGTTTCTCAGAAACTGGTCACAGTTCAAAGTGGCCAATTCCTTAGAATTCAGTGGCAGGATAATCCTACCATTGTTTTTAAAAAAGTCGACCTAGTACATGTGTATTTATTACCTGAATATTCTTTATAGTCAGACTATATAAAGGTTTAACCCCAAACTTGCATAATATTACACAGTTTACAACATGCTTTTCATATATAATCTCATCTGATCTTCACAATTGTCCTACAAAGAATGTGTAAGTACCAATTTTTTAATAGGTGAAGGAGTATATTTTGAAAGATTTACTAACATGAGATAATCTATATAAAGTGCTTAATAGAATGACTGGAACACAATATATGCTGAATGCTATGTAATAATACTAATGATAATGATAATGATATTAACTTGCTTTATGTTACATAAGAGGTGGTGCTGAGATTTGAACCCAGGAATCCCTGATAATTTTATGAGTAAATTAGCTTGTCAAAGTGAGCCTATCTTTATTCGCTTTTTATCATATAAATAATGTACACAGAGAGTTTGATAGAGAAAAATACATCGCTCACCCATAATTCTACCACTTCAGTATAACAGGTATTTTCATACAAAATGATTTTAGTTTTGTAAAGGTTACATTAGAAAGTATTGCTGATGCTTTAATTTGCCCTCTACTTTCTAGAACCCTTTTATTTTTTTTTCCAAAGTAGAGAAAACCCCTGTTTTTAATTCCTCTTCTTGGGGTTTTTAAACATCTAGATGACGTGTGGAGAGCCCATAATGGCCTGGGATTTTACTGTCATGGACATAGGGAGTCCACGGAGACCTGCGAGCAGCTAGGAGACATTTGAAAATGGCCACTCTGGCTCCTGTGTTGGGAATAGCTGTGTCTCGGATTTTATGGGCAGACCCCCACCTGGCTCCAGTGCCTGGGCCCGTGATGGCTTTACCTCCAGCCCCTCCTGAGTACTGGAGGCAAAGGTGTAGGTCTCAGCATGTCTTGTGTGCTTCAGGGCTTCATTTGCCTCCTTGTCTCATTTCTGACCTCAGCTCATTTCCCTAATTCTCCTGCCAGTTCATCCAATTATTTGCAAAAGTTTCTTTTTTTAAACTTTATTGGGCACGTATAACTATTACGTAGAAAGAAGGTTTCACGGTTTCTTGTCAACATACTGCCAGAAACCTTGATTACTTCTGTTTTTCTGAGAATTAAGCAGAACCTTTAGCTGAGAATGGGAGTGAGGGTGTCAATGGGAAGAAAGGGAAGACTGCTTGTTTTAGAGTGTGGTAGAGGAAATTCACCGGGGAAATGCAGGATTTTGTTTTTTTATAAATTCAAAGGGATTAGGCAGGGATCAGTCATTGAGTTCAAGATCGTGGCAGTGGAAGGATTTAAAGACATAGTTCTTCCCCAAGAATTGTAGAGTACTTGGAGAAATAACAAGTAACATAAAACAGTTAGAAGGCTATATTTCATTCTTTTAACCACTTATTAATTTGACAACAATTTATTAATGGTTATCTTAAAGCAGAAGACTGAAACGGTCTCAGCTTAGAGCCTAGCAGGGTGAAGGAAACAGAGTTTTCTAATGGAGGTAGGCATCAAGGAGGTAGCAAATCGGTTCGTCGGCAGGAAGGAGTGTGTGTGGTCAGGAAGAGCGGCAGACAGCTGAGCTGAGTCTGCAAGGATGAATAGGAGACTCCAGGGACAAGACTGGAAAGGGCAGGTAGGTTCATGCCAAGTAATGAAAGACACAGTGAAGAACTGAGAACACAATGTGATTCAGAGATGAGATCGTTATTGGAGTTTGCTGTAGGTATGGGAAGGCTGCATAAAGGAGGTGGATCTTGAGGAACTGGAAGGATTCAAAGGGAGAGCAAATGGGGAGGAGACTTTAGGACAGCAGAGGTGGGAGCCCTGATGGCAGATGTTGGGGTGGGCAGGAGGCATATATGAGCTGGGCAGTCATCACCAGGGCTCTGTATATGTTGCCTTACATATTCTCTTCCTGCAGAGTTGTAGGGTAGTGGGGTGAGAAAGGCTACATAGGGTGGACGGTCTAGACTGTAGAGGGTCTTGCTTAACTCCAGGGTCCACCTCTGACATTCAGTGGTTATTGCTTGAATATGAAAGGAGGTATTTTCCCCTTTGTCTATTTCTGTCTCATAAAGCTTCAACACATTGTTGAACCCAGTCTAGTTTCTTCAAACATTTGAGAACATCTACTAATGGATGAACATCCCTCAGGAGGGAAGCTAGGTGGCACTACATTACTGCCTGGCCACTGCTCTTTCAGAGCGTAGGGCACCCTTGGTTTTAAGTAAGTTTTGATGAATGCAAAACTACTTAATGGAACTTTGAGATAGATGGCCTGGAAGCCTTCTGGAAAATGATTTGTTCCTTTTGTGAATTTTTAAGTAATGAATCACTGTTATTTGGTCCAGAATTAGCTAGCTGATCTGCCTGAATGCTGCTATGAAGGACATCATTCTATTTGTAGATGTAGATCACATTGTATTCTGCTATTTAAGAAATTATTATATTCTGTAAGTAATGCACTGAGGTGATCAAAGATATCTCACAATCTCTTTCTAAGCTTTAATAAAGAAAAAGAGTGTCCTTCTGTTACTTAGCTAGAATTCAAAAGATGAAGATGAGAAATAAAGCTGTCTCTTTTGCCCTTAGTGATAAAATTAGGACTCCCACTGAGGGCTAATGACAGCTAAATAAGTATTTGCCTGAATAAACAGTTGCTGTTTTGATTTCCTCAAAGGTTTTCTTCCTGGGGAAAGTAGCATGGAGAACTAGATTAATTTAATAACACTTTGTACCTGATGCAGTCTGTCAACAGGCTTCAAAAATAAGGTGCTGGCCTATACAGCAGAGTGAAATTGAAAAAGTATCTGGACATCCTCCAAGAGTGGAACATGTTGGCCTAAGGCATATATTTGCTATGAAAGAAGCGAAGTGTGGCAGAGAACACAAAGCAAGTTTACCTAATAGTGAACCTCTTACAGAGGCTTTGTAGTTTACATTAGAAACCCCCCGCCCCATTTCTCTCTTGACCTCTATTTATTATATGAAATTATGTTACCTAAGTTAATAAGCTGAGAACTCAACTCCAAACTAATCTTTGAAGTGCAGCAGAAAGTCCAAGAGCTTCAGAGGTCAGACCCAATCCTCTTCCACAGGGCAGAAGAGGATTGTTATAGTAAATAGAGCCAAGAGTCTGATGGTGGTAATAGATTGAAATGGAAGCAGGACAGGACCTGAGAGGAGAGCCTGAAGGGGTGCACACGGTCTGAAAGGTACAGGATTGCAAGTGAAAACCTTGTTCTGTTTTCTATATGACTTCCTGGTCACATGCTGATATATTTTTTACACAGCTGGAATTATCAGCCCCGTTTAAGAGCTTTACCCTCTTTAGAGAGGTGAAAGAATGATTGTAATCAGCATATTTTTGACTTGCCCTGAATCATATTTTTACTACCCCCATGAATAGTTACATAGTTTTATATTTCCAACATTGTATTAAAATACATGCATTTGGGATGCAAGTACTATGGACAGAAGGAATAAAAAGCATTATAAAAATGACCATTCAGAGCTCAGTAAGAAGTCAGGACATATTTAAGAATTAGTGAGCTAATCAAGTTTTTAAGAACCTGCTTTGGATGAACTAGAATGTTCTAAAAAAAGCGGGGGAGCACATAGAATGTTTCCTGCTGTGCACAGGTGTGCATATTCTGACAATCTTTGGTTAAAAATCAATCAATTGTGGTTTTGAAAAGTCCCAAACGTTTCACCACAGAACATGTAAACCAATTTGAAAAACACACACACATACACACATAAAAGGAAACAAAAACCAAATCGAGCTCTTTGAAAAAGTCTGGTTTCCATGTTTAGTAAAACTTTTATTGTCAACATGTCAACACGTTTCTCTTCTCCTCAATCACTTCCCTTCTTTCTCTATTTTATTATTGAGGGAGAAAATTTCTTTACCTCACATAATAATGAAAGTCACAGAGATCTGAACCAGCCTGTGGCTTTACTATAGTCCCAAATCATCATAATACTTTATAATTGTAACAGCAAACACTTATAGAGCACTTACCATGTGCTAGGGTCTGCATTAGGCTCTTTACATATATTAATCAAATTAATCATCATGATAATTTTATGAAGTAAATTTTCAATTCAGTAAAATTCAAAGCAGTTTTCTGATGTCATGTAAGGATTACTGGAATCTTCTGAATGTTGTGAAGTTTTTTTTAGTCTAAAGTATTCCTTTCAGATCCTCATTGCAGAAAGTATTCTAAGGACCTCTGTTTTTACCAATTTCTCAAAGTGGGAAATTGACTGGAGACTTGAGAAGAGCACCTTTTCCCTTAATTTCCAGCTTACACATTTTATTTTAACAAGGCTAGGATTTACTGCCTTTCTTAGCAGCTTTATTGACAGACACATGCCATTCTGTTGGCTGGGAAAAGGGAATTTGTTTTGTTCTTCCAAAAGATTCATAATTGTGTACTTTATTAAATCCAAAGTTAAGAAATTCTCTCTTTCTCAGCAGACCAAGGGTAAGCAACAATCCGGGAACAACTCTGTTATCTCAAGTGTCCAGTTGGAGGCTTAGATTGAGACTTGGATGAGGTGCACCTGTGACATGTTCCTGGGGTCAAGGGATATGTTTAATTGTTTAATGCCAACCAGACCCCTGGTCCTCTCCAGAAATAGGAGCAATGCTAATACCCCAGTTATTAGGGTTATAACTGTTTCCTCATTCAGCATGACCTTGGCTTCCCATTTTGATAACCCACTACAGTTTTCCTTCTTTCAGTTTGGCAGAAGCGGGACAAGGTTGTTGCAGGCTGGCTCTGTTAGATGCTTGTATCCTTTGGAGGCTTGTTTTTGCATTTATTTCCTACATGAAGATCATGGGTTTGAAATCAGCTGAAAATGTCCACTCTCTGCAAGATGTGCAAGTGTCATTAGAGAGCCTGGAAGCTCCTGTCCCAGCTCCATTGAGCATTAGCTCTGAGACCATGTGACACTTGCTCAGTCTCTTAGGGCCTTAGTTTCTTGACTTTAAATCGGGAAGGTTCAATAAAATATCAAATTAATATTAATATTAATAATAATAGCTGATATTTATGGAGTGCTTCTTCAAGAGCTTAGATGGCTGCTCTCATTTAATCCTTACAACAGCATTGTGAGGCAGGAATTAATAGTGATCAATTTCACGGAGGAGCTCACTGAGCTAGAGAAGGATTGGCTCATTCATTTATTTCACATCGTGTAGCCAGTAAATGGTGGAGACAATACCTGAGGTCAGAGCACAAGACTGTTTATTCTCAAATGTGATCTGCTGACCAGCAGCATTAACAAAACCTAGTGACTTGTTAAAAGGCAAATTCGTGGGCACATGGTAGGCTGGCTGAATCCAAATCTTTGGCTACGGTGCCCAGGAATCTGTGTTTCAACAAGCTCTTTGAGGGGTTCCTATGTAAAGTAAAAGTTGAATCGCGGTCCCAGAACCCGTGTTCCAAGTCCCTATATTGTGGTTTTCTGCATTTTGTCAATCTTTTGAGCATCTAGAACGTTGTCCAGTTGAGTCTGGTTGGCTATGGGGTCATCTCCTTCCTCCCATGCTGCTCTGTGTGCATCCATCCCTCCTGCAGGTGGGCTCCTGACCTTACACAGAACGGCCTGTGCCTAGAGAAAAAACAGTCAAGAGCACAGGAAAAGTGTATTCCTTGGTTGTGACTGCCATGATTCTTCCTGTGGCTCATGCACTATGAATGTCAATGCATATTAAAATTTTACTGCCAGAAACCCTTCTATTTTACAATTCAAAAATTGTTCGAACAGTTGGAAATTTATTTAAATATGGGAACTTATGCCTGTTAAATACATAAACTTGCCCCCCCTCAAAGGGACTCTGATAAACTTTATCAATTCCAGAAGATTTTTAGACTTTTAGTTATATAGTTTAACCATAGAACACTGCATACTTCTCTTTCCCTTGGAAAAAAGTCAAGTTATGTTTATGACCAGCAACTTTAACAGGTGTTGTAAATACACAATTGGATGTATAGCCAGATTTGTTATGTAAACCCTTTTGGGCCTTTAAAAATCTAGGAAAAAAAGGGAACGAAATCTTCATTTTTTCTATGTGGCCTCCAATTGATCCTAGTCACCATCAGATACCATATCAGCAATACATTTTTTTCAGCGTCTGAATTCCTTCCACTTAGTTGCAAATAGACAAGGGTATGGCAGTAAGTGCTGTACTTGTGCAGTGTTAAGAGAAATATGACTATGAAAAAGAAAGGAAATTCCAGCAGGAAAGAGGAAAAGGTTGTTTATGTATATTTTTCTTTACAAAAAGCTTTAAAAAGTACTATTAGAAAAATTAAGAAAACATAATAAAGTACAAGAGGAAAATGAAGATCATTCAGGCTCTCCCTCTTCAGCACCTTTAGCATTTTAGTGTCTGTATCTTTCTAAACTTTTTTGCATATACAGACATATATATCATGGATCTATATTTTATCATAGATCTATATTTAACTCAAACTGGATCTTCCTTTGCACACTTGGCTGTGGTTCACTTCATGTCCACACACACAGATGTGTATATCTTTTCAGGGTAACTCTTGTGGAGGATTGTTAGCCATCCATGTAGTTCTGGTGCTGACCGCCATGTCGTGTCTTCCTGAGGCATATCCAGGGTCATCTGCTCAGAATATGGGGAAATAATGGGGTGGACAGAACATGACCTTCATTGTTGGTCATTTCAAAGCCAAATAAGATGACTGATCCATCCCAAATCCATCACTCACTCTGTTGCCCAAAGCTAGTTTGCTTTCTGTATTTTAAATTTACTAAGTTTGTGCGGTCCTGCTTTAGAAAGTTCAACTTTAAGACACATTGTCTGTGATTAATAGCTCCCTTCCCTTAGCAATAAAGATATTCTACAATAAAATCTGATTTCATTTCTTTTGTTCTTTTTGTCCTCAGGGAAATTCTGCCTGAGGGAAAGCACTTTCAGGGAGATTCCAGGGATCAAATGCAGGCCATTTGAACCATGTCTTAACTGTCTAGTTATTGGGAACACTTAGGGATAAAAACTTTACTGTAAATCTAGATGGATCTAGATTTAGGCCTTATCTACACAAGAACTGGCCTGGGAAAAAGGATAGCTGACTTCAGTAAAACACACAGTGACGAACTAGTTACCAACCGGGTGCACTTTGCTGGACTTTCTCAAGCTGATTTTATGGAACTCTAAAACAAGACTTTTTTTTTTGGTGGTGGCTTTTTCTGCCTTTCAAACAGAAAGGCTTCAAAATATGTTTTGCCAAACGATGTTTACTCTAAAGGTTTGCCAATAATTCAAGAATATAATAAACTTCCTGAATTTGATAATAGGCAGTGGCAAATTCTTTATTTTGGTAAAGTATATTAACTGAAGAACATACCGTGCAGGCATTCATGAAAAAAAGTTACCTCTTTCTGCTCCATATCATGACACTCAAGTAACAGCGTGTACTAAAATGGGACCTGGGGAAGATAAGACCAAATTCTTGAAAGTGCACTGAATTGTCCTCTGATGGTCAGAGTGCATTTGTGCGACTTTAAGAATAAATGTTTTTTTTTTTAAGTGGTCAGAATTCCACTACCATATCTCCTTAGGAAGATAAATGTAAAATGATAGTTGTCTGGTTTAACAATAATTTTCACTTCTTGCTAACCTGAATCATTAACATTTCATGTCTTTTGTTTCTCCTCTTTCCAAAGAATAGATGGTATTCTTTATTATCCATAAAGATTAAATAGACTGTAAATTATATTTTTTAAATGTAACAAGTAATTCTAGTATAGAGGATAGGCCTTAGAAAGTAAATAGAAAACTTAACCAAATATCTGCCTTTTACCCTAATTTGGTGACTACCCAGTATCAAAAAAATCCAGAGTAGAAGCCAAACTGGTTACTAGAAATCTGTGGGTAAGAAGAAGTATTCAAGAGAACAAAATGTTTTTAAATATCCAATTTGGTAATTTGTGTAGATGCTCCCTTCTCAAGGAGGTGGAATATAACTTTTCCCGGCCCTTAAGTATGAGCTGCATTATAGTGATTTCCTTCCAAAGAATACAGTGTGCAAAAGGGTGGGCGGAGCAACTTTATAGAAGAGAAACTTGGCGAACACTACCCCACCAAGGGACAAAGGTTCACACTGACAGCGGTAAGACTCGTTGATAGCGTTTATCCTTGATATCATGTGATGAGAATGTCAATCTGTGGTTTTCCTTCCCCAAACCCATAAACCAACCCTATGTATCATGAAAAAAACACCAAATTCTAGTAGATGGGCGTCCTACAAATTACCTGCTTAAGAGTCCTCAAAACAGTGAAAGCCATAAAAAATGAGCACAGTTTATGAAACTGGCAGAGCCTAGAGGAGCCTCAGGAGACATCACAATGAAATGTAATGTGATGTGCTGGACAGCATCTTGGGGGAGAAAAAGGACATTAGTAAGAACTAAGGAAATCTGAACAAAGTATGCCCTACAGGTAATAACAAGGAACCACTAGTGGTTGGTTAGTTGTGATGGAGGCCTCATGCTAAAGTAAGATGTTAACAACAGGGAACACTGAGTGTGTGGCCTATGGGGACTCTGTACCATTTGCAACTTTTCTGTAAATCTAAAACAGTTCTAAAATGAAAGGTTTGTTAAAAAACCTAATTTGACCAAAATATTTGTTTTCAAATACATACTCACTCAGTGTGGAGAATCCGTGCTAGTATTGAAAAGGGGAAACATGTTTTTTTGAGTAGAGAGAATAGAATGTGCTCTGGCCCCAAGATAGAAAGCACCCAGTGGATTTGCCCCCGGGCGTGGCTGGAGTGTGGGGAGGGAGGGCAGAAAGGAGGGAGCAGTGAGACAGGACATGGGACATGACACACTGGGGCCACTCACAGGGGTCTTATTTTCCATGCTGAGAATTTTGTCCTTATCAGGGGCAATGAAAAGCCATTAGAGGCTTTTAAGAAAGCAAGTGGGATGATTTTGTCTTGCTATCGAGAGCTGACTCCTACTGAAAGAGAGTGAATTAGCACAGGGAGTCTCAAGGCAGAAAGAGCTCTGCATCCTTGCCCACGTCAGATTAGTTTGGCATGAGACTAAGGTAATGAAATGCATGTTAGGAGAAAGGGCCTTTGGGAAAAAGCTAATCCCTCCTCCATCTCTGTTATTTACTTCTTCGGTAGGTCAACCAACAAGTCTTGGACCAGCCTATACAGCCCAAAACGTGGTGTGCCTCCCTGTGCGGCTGCGTCCTGCGACTGCACCCTGAGAATGGTGTCCTCTGGGGCAGAGCAGCGGCCTGCCACAGGCGGCGTGCCTTGGCTGGGTGCTAAGCTGGGTGCTCCTGGACAGTCCAGAACCAAACAGCTGCACCCTGTGGGCCTGGGGCTCTTCTTCCAGGCAGGCCACACCCAGACTGCTGACCACCCTCAGCTCTGGGAGACTCAGATTTGTTAGCCTACTCCAGCAGAGCAAAAGCCCTCCCACTGCCTGGGAAGCAGTTCAGCTCCTCACGGGGAGCTCGGTGTTCCTTCCATCCATACTTAGTCCTTGAAAAGTGGCCGGTCAACACACACACACTTCTTCCATTTTATCACATCCTGGTGAGGTGTTAGCCATAGGTGGGGTTTGGTTCCCCTTTTAGGACAGCTGTCTGCCTGGATTGCCCCTTAAGCCAGCTCTACTTTAATAGGCAGTAAACAAATTATAATTTTTCACTGGCATTAACTCAATTTTGTGACTTAAATAACAGGATTACCTCAGCACAACTAGGAAAATCTCTTTACCTTTATTCTCCCAGCCCTTTCTTGACATCTCTTAGGGAATAAACAGCTTATGGTTGGCTGGGACTCCTTGGAGAAGGTCTGGGTGAGGCCAGTGGGAGCCCGCAGGAGTAAAAGCCCTAAAGAAGCGCTGATTCACACCGGCTGCAGATTTTGGCCAAGAAATGCACTCATTTCTCCAAATAACCAGCTTTTCAATATAAAGGTACGTAAATAGCAGCAAGAGGGACAAAAGGCAAGGTGTAAGTTTGGTTTTGGTGTTACTTGAGTCCCATACACAAGATATGTGAGGCTTCAAAGCAGAAAGAATAGGCTGGGGGCCAGTGTACACCGCCTTAATTCTTCTTAATTCTTTTTGAAATGGGCTGATTCTCAATCAGCAATCTGGGAGGGGAAGTTCAATTTCATACTTATTTCTGAATAGTTTCCTGGTCCCTCCATGCTGTTTTATAGCTAGCTGCTTTTTCTCCTTTTCTCCCAATCTCCAGTAGCTGAATCTAATCCATACGGATCTCAACATAGGTCACACGAAGTGTAGTGTGAACCTAAACCACCTTTTACTTTTACTTTGTCTTGAGCTTCATCATTTTTTTGGGAGATGTGAAGGTCTGTGCCCTGAAAAAAAGCCCCAGGAGCTTTTTCCTCCTCCTGTGGAGGAGGGCTTGGCAGGGAAGCCTCCCAACTTGTACAGAGCAGGAGCTGCTCATTCAGCTGTGTCTTCAGAGGCAGAAAGAAGCCATGCATTATTCTGGCCATTTTTGAAGGTTTAAGTGGATCACCAACCTCCCCTTCCCTTCTGGGCTCCTGATGTCATTCCCATCAGTAATGCTGAGAACAGAATAGTTAGATTTTCCTCTGTCAACCATCTCACCTCCTTTTGAACTCTACTTCTTTTACTTCCTAGCTGTGCAGGTTGCTTAACCTCTCGGAGCATCAGATACTTCATCTGTAAAACGCAGATAGTAATAGATGCCACCCCATAGAACCTTTGCTATGAAGGTTGAATGAAATGCTGCTGTGCATGGTGCCGGGCACCTAGTGAAGCACCCAAGCAAGCTATTAACTGTTACTGTGAAATGAAAACCTGGACTATGATTGTGCTTGCTACTATTTTCCACTGAACTTGAACACTCATCCTATTTCCACTGGGGAAAGGAGGGGATGCATAAATGGGGGAGAATGTGTGAGAGTTTCAGCAAGCTCTAAACGGTCATGTCAGGCAGCTGGTGGCACCAATGCAGCTCAGGCAATTGCAAAGATCCTCTGAGTGACACTTCTCCTACTCCCTAACGGCTTAATGCTGAAATACTGACATGGGTGACAGGTCTTCATTCTCCCCCCAGTTTTCCTGCCTACATGGTTAATCTACGGGCTCTCTCTGTGTGCTGTATCTGTTGAAAAATCAAATTCTAACAGAGATGTCTAAAAAGTATTAAATTTTTACATCCAAGAATATTGCACTGCAAATCCTTCCAGGGATTCTGGCATATCAGGCAAATAAACATGGTCACGCCATGTGTTAGGGCTTTAAGGAGCTGCGTTCTGGGGACAATACTTCGAGCTATCACTGTCTTTGGTCAGATTCAATGTGAAAACAAGCAAGTGACTGCAGCAGCTACTAAGCGTTAGAATGAATTATTTAATGACAAGTAAATTCTCATTTTTCCAAGGTGGTGTGGCAGTGAAGTTGCCTGAGGGATGGATGAGATAACAGGACATACCAAGCTGTCTTGCAGCCTCATCGTATTTGGTGCAGGGTCTTGTTCCAGTGCTTTGTATTAGGCATTTCACATAACATCTCAGATTTAACCATATATTTTAATCTTATCTCCTTTCTAAGGAAGAATATTCCAGTATCCCAGTGTACAATATTAATAGATCTACCTCTACCCATGGCCCCTATAATAATTAAAATAACCAGAAAGACTACTAAGCATTTATATAAATCTAAGCATACTAAGCATAGCTATGTATCAGGCCTGGGGCTAAACAGTTTGCATGTTTTGCATTCTCTGAACTCCAATTTTATATTTTAAACTTGATTTTGCCATCCTACTAATTTATTTTCCATTAAATAATTCACTCTAATGTTTGGTAGCTGCTGCAGTTGCTTGTTTGTTTTTGTTCAGAGTATTGTCCCCAGGATGCGGCTCAGACACAGGCATTTCAAACCTAACAGGATCAAAACAAAAGTTATGATTTACTTCTGTAACTTTGGTATTTTCCATCTTAGTAAATGCCACTGGTCTCCCAATTGCAGAAATCTACAGCATTCATCCTTGATTTTGTCATTCTATTCTTATTCCCTATATAATCTCTGACAGTCTTGCTATATCCCATCTCCAATGTAAATTCAGAGTCTGCCCATTTCTCTACAAATAACGCTTTCACCATCCTAGGACACACTGCTGTCCCTCTTTTGGCCACTGAAATAGCTTCCTCCCAACTGTCGCAGTTTTCCCCTATATCCATTATGCACAGAGAGCTCCATTATGCACAGAGAGCAGAGTGATCCCCCACCAACATTTTATTATGAAAATTTTGAAACATGCAGCAAAGCTGAAATGATTTTGTAGTGAAAATTCATACCTACTATCTAGAACTCACTATTAGCGTTTACTTAGATGTGTAGTTTGCTAAGGCTGCCCTAACGCAATACCACAGACTGGGTTACTGAAATCACAGGTATTTATTTTCTCAGTTTTGGAGCCTAGAAGTCCAAAATCAAGGTGTTGGCAGAGCTGGTTTCTTCTGCGACCTCTCCCCTTGGCTTGCAATGGCCACCTTCTTTCTGTGTTCACTTATGGTTGTCCTTCAGGCTGTGTTGTCTGCATGCTAATCTCTTCTTCTCAGGATGTCATTCATATTGGATTAGGGCTCACCCATATGATGTTATATTACCTTAATTACCTCTGTAAAGATCCTATCCCCAAAGAAGGTCATATTCTGAGGTACTTGGGGTTAAGTACCTCATATGAACATATGTATCAACATACAAATTTTGAGGTGATAGAATTCAGCCCATGATACATTGTTTCACTATATGTCTGTCCATCCATCTACCCTTCTATTCATCCATTAATCCATCTTAATTTGGGTGCATTTCAAAGAAATTGCAAATTTCTGTACCCTTTACCCTAAACATGCCAGCATATATATATATAATTAACTAGAGTTCAATATTTGCATAGTTTTTTTGTTTGTTTTAAGGTAAAATTTAATTCTTAAGTTTACATTTGCTGCATTTTGACCACTGGGTAACTGAACATTTATCAAGTGTAGAACATTAACCATTCCTTCAGAAAGTTCCCTTACACCCTTCCCAGGCAACGCCTATTTCCATTCCCATTTCAGAGGAAGCCACTGTTCTAAGATTTTTCTACTGAAGATTAGCTCTGCCTATTCTAGACTATCATAGAAATGGAATCATATAATGTGTTGTTGCTTATATCAATGATTCATTCCTTTTTATTGCTGAGTAATAATCTGTTTATGAATATATCACTGAGTTTCTAATTTTATTTATTGATGGATGCATGGAATGTTTCTAGCTTTTGGCTATTATGAACAAAATGCTATGAATACTCTTACACAAGTCTTTTTGTGAGCACATGTCTTCATTTGTTAGGAGTAGAATTGTTGGTTAGGTTTATGTTTACTTTTAAAGCAGAATGATCTTTCAAAAAGGTGTCAGATAATGTCACTCCTTTGTTTATAATTTTCCAATGACTTCTTATTGCACTTAGAATGAAAGTTCCCCCTAGTAGAAAGCCTGGAATGTCAGACTTCTGTCTCCTTCCTCCCCAGCTCGATCACCTGCTACTCCTCCAACCTCCTCGTGCCCCTCACTCTCCTGACAGCTTGTCCCATTCCTGTCCACTCACTGCACAAGACAACTGTGCTTCAGACTCGCTTGTGTCTTTGCTGTTACTCCAGCCAAGAACTTTATTTGTTCAACACATTGCCTGGCTGATTCCTGTTCATCCTTCAGGTATCAGCTTAAGTATCACCTCTTCAGAGAAAATTGAGGATTGCAGAGATTAAGTAACTTGAGCAAAGTCACACTGCTGGGAAAGCCAATATGCAAACCCATGCAGATAGGCAATCTGACTCCAGAGCCTTTGCCATAACTACTTCAAAACACAAACCCTCCTCAGTTGAATGTCTCATGATAGTTTCTTGCTTTCTTTCTCTCATCTACCATTCTTTGTCTATTTTGCTTCAGTCTGTTTTATTTTTTTTCTTTGCTTCCCCTGTTCCCTGAAACTATTCCTACAAAGGTTACCCATGACCACCTGATTGTCAAATCTGGTGAAAATAATGTGGGGACATGACTTTGCTTCTCTCCAACATTTGATACTGTTTACTATTTCCTTTCTTGACATGTTGTATTTGGCTTATCTGAGCATATTCTTCCATGGTTTTCTCTGCTTCTGTAACCCACACATCTGATCTCCTTTAGGGGCTCACTGTTCTATTGCTTACCCTTCAGATGTTGGTGTTTCAAGGTCCTTCTCCTGGTCTTATTCCTGATGTCTACATGTGTATTTGTGGCTTCAGTCACAGTCTACCTACTGATTGTCTTCTCAGCTAGATCCCCAGCCCAGGTCTTTCTCTGAGAGACCCATAGCTTGACTATCTATTAAACTTCTCTAACTGTATGCCCTAAAGGCACACAAAGATGTGTGTTAGTCTCCAAAAATGGGCCCCAACAAGGTATGCTTCTCAGTGTCCAAGTCTGTGGAGTCCCCACTCCTTGAATCTGGGCTGACCCTGTGACTCATCTTTAGAATCACTCTATGATTCCCAAGTTTGAGTCATTAGAAGATTTGCAGCTTCTGCCAGGCCTCTTGAAATGCTTGCTTTTTGGGCTGTCTCTTGTAACCCAGCTCTTCTGCTGGGAGAAGCTCAAGCTGGGGGGCTTGGAGAGGCCACATGCAGGTGGAAAAGCCCAGCTGAACTCCTACCCAAAAGCCAGCATCAACTGCCCTGCATGTGAGTGAGCCATCTTAGACAACAAACCCAACTGAGTCTTCAGAAGATCATAGCCCAGCCAACATCTGATAGTAATTATTTGAGACACCCCAAGCAAGAATTGTCCAGCTGAACCCAGGTGACTCATAAAATCATGAGTAATAATAATAAATTTTTGTTTCAAACTACTAATGCTTAGGATGGTTTGATATGTAGCAATAGACAGCTAGA